TGGATTGTGGGACTGCAGGGCTTGGGGAACCTGGAGAGAAGCCCTCCAGCAACATACTGTTGTGTGGATATAAACCTCTGAAAAGTGAAATCTGTGCTCCCAAACTTTGCTGCTAACTTATCAGCTAAGGCGATGGAACATCCTAAATCCTTTGTTGTCATTTCGACAGGGGCCAAGGAGTCGACTGCACCTAAGGAAGCCGCCCCTTTGCACCCGTGTTTGTCATGAGACTGTGTTCAGGTGACCTGACACTAGCTTTGTTCCTTTTCCTGCCACATCTGCAGTCACTTCGTTAGCCGAGGTCGTAGAGTCATCTGAGGGAGGTGGCACGAACTCTTTCCACTCTGCAGTTAGTGGTAACAACCGGCCTCCTCCCACGGACCACAAGTGTTCTCAGTGACATCTAGAATGGCATGTCTCTCAATGAAGTTTTGAACTTGGCTTGATGCCTTAGAGAAAGATTAGGTAATAAAAGATAGTATTAGCTACAACCTTTAAAATGTATTTCTTAAATAAGCTTCAAAAGCTAAATTAACTTTGATCCTTGGGCGACAGGATAGACACGGTATGTATGAACAGAAAGCAAAGACAGAGCCATCCGAGTCAGACTGTACCTCTCCATTAGAACTCTTGGGTGGCCAGGTGCACCATCAGTGAGCAGGGATATGTTCAAAAGAATCTTTTCTTCTGAGCAGTCGATAGCAAGAGTGAGTTTAAAAATGTCAGTGAACCATGTTATGAACAGATGTGCTGTGATCCAGGCCTTTTTATCCATTTACAGAGTATGGGCATAGTAAATTCAGTCTTACTTTTAAGGGTTCTGGCATCCTTGAAATGGTGTGTGAGCATTAGATCCAACTCAAGTTACAGTTGCATTAACCTTGAACAGGAGAGGAAGCCTCTGCTGAGAGGCTTTGAGGCCAATTGTTGACATCTCTCCAGGTTTGAAAGTCCTGGGCAGCACCTTCTTCCAGGAGAAGGCTGCTCATCAACCGTAGAAATCTCCAGGTGAGGGTGGCCGGCCACCTTCATCAGGAACTTTAGCTGCATTTTTACATAACTTGCCATGTCTGTGTTAGTGGTTGCTTCTTCACCTTGCATTTTTATGTGATGGAGATAGCTGCTATCTTCAAATACCATAAACCAACCTCTACTAGCCTGAGACTTCTCTTCTGCTGCTTGTTTCTCTCGCCATTTATAGACAGAAGGGCTAGGGCCAGCCTGGACCTAGGCTTTGGCTTAAGAGAACGCTGTGGCTGGTTTGATCCTCTGTCCAGACCTCTAAAACTTTCTTGCTATCATCACTAAGGCTGCTCTCTTTTCTTTTAATCCATGTGTTCAATGGAGCAACACTTTTAATTTCCTTCAGAAATGTTTCCATTTGAATTCACAACTTGGCTAACCAATGCAAAAAGCTTATCTTATGGCCTGTCTGGGCTTTCGATATGTCTCTCTCTTACTAATTGTAATCATTTCTAGCTTTATAAAAGATTTGTTTTATTATTTTTAATTAAGAGACAGACAGACAGACAGACAGACAGACAGACAGCAGGTACCTGTGGAATCCAGAGAAGGATGTCAGATCTCTGATGTGGGTGTGCTGGGCCCTGAACTTGTGTCTGCAAGAACTGTTCACACTCTCAACTGCTGAGCCAGGAGTCTCTGCCCCCTCCAGTTTCTTATTTGAAGAGAGATATGTGACTCTTTCAATTGACTTGGACACTTAGCGGCCACTTAAGACTGTTAAATGACTTAAGATCAGTATAGCTGAATGGGAGGAAATGAGGAGTCTGGGGAGGGGGAGGAAGATGGAGGAGCAGTCAGTCGACAGAGCAGTGCAACACACACACATTTATCAATTAATCTTGACAGCTTATGGAGAATGGCTCATGATGCCCTCAAACAATGACAATAGAGTCATCCAATATCACCACTCACAGAGCACCCTGGAAGATACAAAACTTTGAAAGAGAGGAAGAATTATCAAAATGTAACACAGAGACGCAGAGTGAGCATATGGTCTTAGGGAAAATGCCACCACTGGATATGCTTTACATGGGGTAGCCTCAGCTCTTCAATTCATAAAGAACACAATATCTACAAAATGCAATAAAGAGAAATAAAGCTAAGTGTGTTTGCATCTCTATATCTATACCTGTCTGTCTAGCCATGGAGTCAAACAAGTAAACACACCTGTCCTCCAAGCCTTCCTGTCTGTCTCTGCCTGAGAAGAGGGCAAGCCTGTGCTTTATCTCCACAGACGGGCAGCTGAGGATCACACTCGTCTTGTTTATGTGTCTCAGTCTTTCCACTAGTTCCCCTAAATGCCTCCTAGACTTTGCTCAGTGAGCCAATCAGGCTCCCAGAAAAAAGCTTTCCTTCCTTCCCAACAGTGACTCCAAGCCAGATGGTCTACATCAAGAACACTAAGTCCTGGCCTGAGGTCTTAGCCAGCAAAAACTCACTATCAGCCTTGCCTTTGGGGGATGATGTAATGCTATAGAGACGTGTCCCACAATCTCTCCCAAAAGGCGGAAGGCCTCGTGACTCACGGGGGACTAGCGACCAGGCTTTGGGCCGGACATCAGCCTCTGTTGTGATGAGTGGTGATGGTGTGTGTATTCCAGTTCCTTGGCTGACATACCAGGTTCTGTAATGTCTTCTGCTCACAGGGCTTTCTTCATAGGCTCATGCTGCACCATGTCCATGTCCTCTTTTGTGTACAGGACTATGCCCAGCGTGGCCCCACAATGGACACATCAGGCTTCCACTGGGTGCTGTCGTGATTTGAATAGAAGAGAGACCACTGCGGTCGCAAAGCTGAGTTCTCAAGCTGGGGAGACAGCTCAGCAGGTGTGAGGACCTGTGTTCGAGTCCCCAAACACAGAAACTACATACAAATAAGACGTGGTTGCCTGTGTACCTGTAACCTCAGCTCTGTTAGGTGGAGACAGATGGAATCACCAGGATTTGCTGGTCACTGGTCCAGGCTCAGTGAGCAACCCTGTCTCAAAGGAACAATGTGAAGAGTGTAGAGCAGGACAATTTATGTCTTGATCTGACCTCTGTGCACATGCACAAGCGTGTGCACAACACACACACACACACACACACACACACACACACACACACACACACACACATTCTCTCTGTGGCAGAGCAAGCCTTGTAGTCCTTACTAGAAATGTTTATATCTATTTTGCATATATAATGTTTAGCTCCCTGATTACTGAGCCTGTGCCAATGGAACTAGTCAATTCTTAGGGGAGCCGGGAGTTAGCTAGAGACAGGTCTGATGGCATTGTCTAGTGCATAGTAGATGTTCAATGAACACTTCAAAAAGAACTGAACAATCAAGAGACGTTAAAGGCACAGATACCAGGAAGAGATGGCCCAGAAAAGCCATTCATCTTAATGTGATGGATGCTGTCTTGGGAAAGAAGTTAGAACTGCAACCTCTTCCTCTGCCTTGGGGCACCACATTTGCCATCTTGGCTGCTCACATAACCATCCTTGGAGGCTTTAAGACATTATCTTATAGAAGCAGAGAGCAGAACCTAGAGAAGTGAAATGGTTTCCACAAGTTCATCAGCCGGTAAGGGGCAGAGTCTAGGACCTACTCAGGTCTGCCTCATGCTCCACACACCACGGCTTATGGCTCAGCTCCCTTAACAGAAAGTAGACATTTCCTACCAAGCGAGATGGCTTTCAAAACAGCGCAATTAAACCCGTTGGATTAGGATCCCATCAAATTTGAATATAGAGAGGGTATGGGTTCACCTTTGTTCGATTCATAAAAGAACAGGTTTAGGGAGCTGAAAGCCATGGAAACCGCAGAGCTGAGACCGAGTCTCTGAAGGAAGCAAAGCAAAGGTCAGTCTTGAAAACACCAGGCCAGCGTGATTTGCATAGAGCTGCACGGTAGGATTGCCTCTGCCTGGAATCATTCTTCACTTTCTCCTTCTTTCCCAGTTTTTGTAGCTAACTTGTCTTCATCCTTCAGGCCATGCCTGTACTGTCAGTGCCTGTGGGAAGGCCTCGCTGACCCGCACACTAAGTGACTCATCCCTACTGTACTCTTACACTGGCTTGGGCCCTCCATTATTTAATTGCTTGTTTTATTATCTGTCTTCCTTGCTAGGCAGCAATTCCACAGGGACAGTAGCAGCCGTGTCCTTAACACTTAGCACAGTCTCTGGAACACGGCCAGCGAACACTTGTTAAATGAACGTCTAAAGGAATAAGTGGTATGATAATTACAAATCACAGGTTCTTCTAAGAAATGTTTTCTGAGTCTATCACTGCATGGATTGATAATTGTTCCCTTAACTGTTCCCGCTCCCTTTCTTTCAACATCTGTTAACATCTGTTTGCTGACTGACAGTTGTGCATCTGACTCCGTGTACATCAAGAAGCAGATGCATGGCCCTGCCCTAAGAAACTCGCTGCAGCCTGTCCGTGGGTCCACAGAACCTTCACGATGCTCTGCAGTACAAGTCTACCCCTGCATGTATCTCTACTCTGAGAAGGTTCCAAACTGCTAGGACTCACACTTAAGGTCTTGTCCGTCTTACATCACCAGAACCCAGCACAATGAACGAGCAGAGAAATTTATAATTACATGTGGAGTGATGTATAAGTTACCCTAACTTAGTACAACCTTTTAGAAAACAGTTTGGCAAGAGAAATTGGATATTTTTAAATTCTTATAACCCAGTAATCTCAATGTCACCTAAATATATAGTTTTTCTTAATCCATTCACTTAGAAAGGGAATTTCTAGACTAACATGCTAAGAGGCAGGTTCCATCCATCATGTCCTCACATGTCATTATACTTTCTTCTCATTCATTGCTTTCCCTACCACGCCGCCTCTTACTCTCTCGCCAGGTGTCTCCATCGCCCCCAGCTCACACCCCTTGCTTCCCTACGGCATGTGTTCCTCTCTGTTTCCTATCTTCCTGAACATTTCTTCCCCACTCCCACGGAAATCCAGTTTTCCCAGCAGCTGTTAAAGAGGCCATGTTTTCTCTAACGCGCGTCTTTGACGTCTTTGTTAAGATTGGGTGGCTGTGCTGCGCAGGTTGTTTCTGGGTCGTCCATTTCTTTGGTCCCATATCTGGTTTTGCAGCTGTGCTGGGCTGCTTTTGTTCGCTGTGGCTCTGTGATGTAATTTGAGATTGGCCATTGTGCCTCCCCCGCGGTTCCTCCTGCTCGGCATTGCCTTGGCTAGCTATCTGGGCCCTTCATGCTTCATTTCTTCAGTGTCCTAAAGTTTTCATTATAAAGGCCTTTCAACTCATTGATTAGGATTATCATTAGGTATTTAATTTACAGAATACTGTTATTGAACTGTTTCTTCTGATTTCTTACTTAATGAGTTCATTATTGGTATGTAGAAAAGTTATTGATTTTTTTGTTTATTGATTGTTTTTGTTCCTTTATTTTTCTAAAGTGTTTATGAGGTCTGAGATTTTTCTGGAAGAATCTTCAGGGTCACTTAAATACAGGATTGTGTTGTTTGCAAATAAGGCTAATTTTATTTCTTCTTTATCATTTGTACCCCTTTCTTCCTCTTGTCCTCTTTCTCTAAGACTTTGAGCACTGTATTGAGTAATAGTGGACAGGAGACACCTGGTCTCATTCCAGGGCTCGAAAGAAATACTGTTAGACTTTCTCCATCTCCTTAATGT